TCGGAAGAATCATTTTTCTCTTTCAGTCGTGCATGATTGTCTAGGTATTTTTAGCCGCATGAAACCTTCTTCATCTGAAACATTTCATTATGCCATGCAATTTTTATGCAAAATTTAATCTCCATCTTAGAAAATCAGAACTGGTAGAAAACAAGACTTAAAAGAAGGCTTAGGAGAGTACAACAGTAGTACTTGCATTCAAATATTTTGCCTGCTAGCACTGAGTGCAGTGGAAACAGAAAACATTACAGGGCAGTATCAACAGTGCTAGCCTTGCCTGAAGGGTAAATTGAAATACATCCGTTGCACCACATTGAGATTTATTGAAGCACCTTTCAGAGGTACACAGCTGGGCTCCATTACTGGCCATCACACAACACACATTTTGTGATGTATTCACAGCTGCCCTGTGGAAAGGAAGGACTGACTCTTGATCTTAATTTACTTCTGAGGAAGTGGGAAACAAACTCATGTTCAGTGTGGAACAAGAACCGGCCATCTGGGTTCCCCACAAGCCAGGCTGTACTTTTTACTAGCAGAGTCAAGATATCCATCTTGAGAGGAGGAAGATGACGATTCAGGTGCTGTGTTAAGATTCAAGAGTCTAATATTGCAGGTGGCAACTAATTTGTGGGTTGTTATTGGGCAGTAAACTTTCCCTGGACTTCTGGTTTCCTTCAGTACTGAGTTATTATGTCAAGCCCACCTTTCCTCATAAGGTGAGCCATCACCACAGATGATGCTTGGATTTTAAACTTGAATTGTCAATGAAATTACTCAACGCAAGAAAATTACTCAATCCATCAAATTACTCAACCAATGTCTCACATGTTCTGGTATGGAATTAGTTTCTTCACTTTATATTTCAAAAGAAACCCCACGGGACTGAAAAGCAACTGCCAGGGGCAGCAATAATAAATGGTGCATGAGAAATATCAGCTGGAGCAGGAGGTGAATTCATGTTCTCCTGGATGACAAAAGAGTCCAGCTCTGGGAAGGATCAGAGGACCTGGTTACATTTGATCCCTCGTCTTGTTATTTCCAAAACATAAAAAATGAAAAAATGGCATTCTAGATCAGATTTAAAGATTAAACGATTTCTTGCACTCTGGGTACTCTAGATACCTATCCAGGGTACTCTAGATACACATCAGACAAGGTTTATATTTGTAGAGCTTGTTTATAGATTTAAACTGCAACTTAAACATCTAGTTTTACCATTAACAAAACAAGTAAAAAGCTCAGAGATTACAAATTTGTCTGGGAAGCTTTCAGACCCACTTTTTGGACACAGCAGCTACAAGTTGCAGGCAGCTTGGGAAGAGGTGAGTTCCACAGAGCTTCCTGTGCCCTGTCTCATCAGACTCCTCGCAGAGCTACTGAATTAGCTTTTTATTATGTGCCGACAAAGACAACCAATATGAAGTGGGATTAACAGGCATGAGTCAGTAAGCACATTCCTAACTTTTATTGTAGAGCTGCTGGTAATTCAGCAGCAGCATAGTTTCTTTCAGAATTAAATTGGCTTTAAATTGGATTTAAAGATGCTGTCTGCTAAAGGAGACAGTTTTATTTAAAATCACTTGTATTCCTGTTCTTATCACCAGCTTCCTGAAGCTGTATTGGACCAGCAACAACAGTCACACTTTCCTGGCCAGAGTTTGCCTCTCTCTTGGACCTAGTAATACAACCTTGGTAGCATCTGGAAGAATAGTCATAGGCCCTGCACACCACTAGTTCACACTGCAGGTAAACCAATGGATTGTTACGAATAAACTGGAAGGCATTGAATTTAAACCGGGCCACGTTTCTGTAGGGTGAATAGTACGTAGCATACGTAGGATCTCGAACACACCTAAAAGGAGAAAAAGCAACTCTCATGAATACACACTGCAATCAGTCATTTACATGAAGTATAACATATAACATGAAAAGTGATTTTTAAACATGATGAAAATGGTTCAGAAACGTGCAGTTAGGAAAAGCAAGATGCCCTCCTTCAGCAGCATTGAGCCATGTTACCTCCCCTCAGCCTGTCTTGTGTCTAGATACCTAGTGTTTGTACGTTTTTCTGACAGTGAATTACCCTTACCTGAGCTCTGTCATTGTTACCTCTCTGATAATAAGGATCCATGGTGAACTGGCCATAGCCATTTGTCATTTTAAGATGTGTGTGTGTGTGTGTGTGTGCGCGCGCATTATATTTTGGTCAATCCACCTCCCCTAGTAAACCCTAAATGCCCATGTTCATTAATTAGTTAGAAGCTGACATTAATGTATGCTGTATTCACACTATTCCATTAAAAAAAAAAATTAAAACAAGAAAAAAAAGAAGAAATAAAGGAGTAGAAAGGCAGTTCTATCTGTAATTGTAAAGCATATGAGCTTACCCATTCCTGATTATATCATAGGTTACTGTCGTAAAATTGTGGGGAGTGGGAGATGCTACACAGGTGTCCACAAATAACACTAGGTTTGGATCCGAGCTGTGCAGGTACGCTTCAAGGAACAAATTCTGGTTGATATCAACATAGTATGGCGAGTCATACACCGGCCGTGAAAAGGATGCAGAATGATAAAATGTAAGGTTTACATCATATCTGCTATACTGAGTTTCATTGACTTCAAAATTGTCCTCCGCAACATACATTATTTGTGCCCATGTGTTCTGGAGCATTTTGCAGTTGATATGCAAGTGAAGGTTTTTATTTCTTGTGATTACAGTACCAGAAGAGAATCCTCTAATAATGTTGGAATAGGTTATTGTATTGTTGTTTCCCTGTTTGACATATAAAATAAAAAGCAAAATTAATTCATATAGTCGGGTTTCCTATTATGCATTCTAAAGTTTGCCGTATCCTTACAGCAATGTCCACAGCAAATGCATTATTTCCCACAAAGTTTGCTGTGGAGAAGTGTGAACCTGGGATTTTCTGTTCTCAAGATAAGAATCTGTAATCTACACATAGTGCCTGCAATGTGGGCCTAGAAAACAACTCACATGAAATGCAGACATAACTGAATTAAATAAAACCTGTACGATGCTTTGAACATTAAACGCCTGAAGGCTCAGGTCCAGCACTGTAAGCTGAAATCTGGCTTAAACCACGATTGGTCATATTTAGCTAAAGCTCTGAGAACTTTTTAACCACCACACTCAGCTTGGGACCTTGAAAATGCCAAGTATTTGCTTCTTTCCACACTTCCTTCCTCACGAGCAGGAGCAAAGGGGCAGGCGCTGATCTCCTCCCTCTGGTGACCACTGATAGAACCTGAGGGAACGGAATGAAGCTGCGACGGGGGAGGTTTAGGTTGAATATTAGGAAAAGGTTCTTCACTGAGAGGGTGGTCAGGCACTGGAACAGGGTCCCCAGAGAAGTGGTCACAGCACCGAGCTTTACTGAGTTAAAGAAGTGTCTGGATAATGCTCTCAGTCATATGCTCTGATTCAGCTGGTCCTGTGTGGAGCCAGGAGTTGGACTCAATGATCCTTATGGATCCCTTCCAACTCAGGACATTCTATGATTCTATGATTTATTCCTTAGGAAATCTATAACAAGCTATAAGAAAATGCTCTGGGAGCAGATGCCAGAAATACGAGTGCTAACAAATCCTATACCTCAGGAGAGGGAGAGGCAGCTCATAATCACCAGGACACTCCCAGTCCCTGTAGATCCCAGTATAGCTTTCAGTTTGTGCTGGTTTTCAAAATTATTTTTTTGGTTTGATTTTCTACACACTCACGATATTTGCACATTTTCCTGAAACATTTAAAGCCATACCTCTCTCACAGTGCCGCAGCGAGTGTATGGTATGTCGAATATAACATACTCTGATGTAATGTTGGGTTTGCAATAGGGGTCATTCAAGGAGAGATTCCAAGCAGAGTAGCCTTGTGACTGAAGGTAGTACCTGCTCACGACTGCATGCATGTAGTCTGGCAAACACAGCAGTGCTAGCGGATGGCAAAGAAAATATGTTATAAGCTCAATGAAGTGACTGAACAAGGTTATAAGTTGTGACTTAAATAAACAATATCTTTTGCAGAAGCAGCTGATATTGCAAAAGGAGTTCAAAATCCAAACCATATACTTGCATCTCTATGAAATGCTACAGATTTAATCTAAAATAACATGAAATGGGTGATTCATTGAAGTGGTACAACAAGATTAATAATCAGTGCATTAGCAAATAATTCAGCAGCTTTGTGCTTTAAACATGAACTTACTAGTGCTCTTATCTGCTGGAGAGGAATAATAGTCAGCCTGAAACCCTCTGTATGTGTATCGAGAGTTACTGTAAAATCGGACAGTCAGCAGGTTTGAGGAAGAGGTATATGTGCGAAAAGAACCAGAACAAAATTTCCCAAGGAGAGGAGAGGTGTGGAGTGGCCCATCGTAGACTTCCACATAGTCAGACAGGCATCTGCCACCTTCCATCCTGGGGAGCAACCATGACTAGTTAGTGAAATGCTCATTATTATTTTATTATTTATTTATTCATTCACTTATTTATTTATTTAAAACTCAGGTTAACTGTTCATAGCAAAAAAGTACATTTTACTGATATGATTATCAACTCTTTGGAACAGAAATTACAGGCTCCAATTTCTGTCTCTTTAGATGCCAGCCACATTATTGACTAAATAAATAAAGATTAAAACATTTGTCATCTCAGACATACTAAAAGCTTTGAAAAAGATCCTTGAAATCAAGCAGCTATCTGCTTAGTAAGTCCAAAATGTCAATCCCATACATTCATCTTCCCAAGTAATAAATTTTTACTTACTGAACATCTCTAAATGCGAGTGTGACACGGAAGTTGCTCTTTACTTCTATTTCCCAAACACAGTTGGCATTGTTTGGATAATTTCTGGGGTAAAATGGACTCTGCAAGGTACCAGACGGAGAGGAAAGCAAGCCACCACAAGAATAATCTTCTGCAGAGAACAATACGAGAAGAAAAATATATGTACACACCATTTAATATTGCTTTTGGAATATATCTATGTAAAACTTAGAAGTTTAAAATTTAGAGGCAGTGACTTCTACGAATTTCAAAGGTCTTTCTATTAGGTTCATATATCATCTGAATGCAGATTAGGAGATGCTAAGCACGCAATAGCTTTTATAACGCTGATCTTCAGTGTCTGCACTAGCAGGATACAAATATTTGCCATAGACCTGGATAATTACTGAGATTGGACCTCTGGAGGTCAGTTGCTCCTTGAAAGAGAAAAAGTCACAGCTGCACCTGGTTCACTGCTATTACAATTGCTAATGACCAAAGGGAAGGAAAAAGATTAAAATGATTTTGCTTCTGAATAAGAATGCTGACAAATATCCAGTTCATAAACATGAAGACCTTATGTCAAAAAAATTGTATGAAATTTATATATAGATCAGCTGCAACCTAATCAAATAACAGGGGAATCAAGATCTAAGAAAGTTTATTTTACTTCTAAAGTCATGGATTTCTAGGATACTTTTCAGTACAAGCTCAAACTACTCCAAGAAAAGAGAAATGTGTAAATGGGCACCATCTTTTGAATTATATTCCCAATTAGAAAAAAATACATTTTTAACCTAAAAAGTGAACAAGAGACCTACTGAGGTCTAAGAGATTTTCAGTTTTTATTTTCAGCTTCTAGCAAATGCGGAAATACCCTTCTCCCACTGAACCAAATGTTCACTATGAGAACAATTAAACTTTCAATGTACGCATGATCGTCAAATGATGTGCTTGAACAAACAGCTGAAATAGGAATTAGTGAAATTACAATACTTTTGAAGTTATAGAAAAAAATGCTTCCTAAGTACTTGTGAAATTACTGCTCAACTGCAAAGAAATAAGTGACTACACTGGGTGTGAAACCACCTGCACTGCTATTTTTGGATAATTTGAGGCATTGTTCTTTTTGTATTAAATGAAGAGAAATATGCCCCAAAATTATGAGCAGTAACCCTCTTCTCATTGGCTATGATCAGGACCAAGCAATTCCTCTGTCTGCATTTGTACACACATAGTTCCAACACAAACACATGAGCCTTTCCATCTGGGGACCTCATCTCAGATGCTCCGTGTATGTTCTGCCTGAAGATGAGGAAACACTTTTTCACTGTGATGGTGACTGACCAATAGCACAGGATGTCCACAGAGGTGGTGGATTCTCCATCCTTGGAGACAGCCAAAAGACATCTGGATGTGATCTTGGACAGCCAGCTCTAGGTGACCCACCCCTCCCCAAAACAGTTCCCAGGACACTGATATGTGAGACCCACAACCACCACCTGGATGCCTGGCAGGTCCCTGTGTGGTTGCACCTCAAAGCCTTCCCCTCCATCCCAGCAACTGAGTGCAGCTCACAGTCTGCATGTGCAAAAGGTCCCATCAGCAGGGCCTTGAACGGCGTTGTCAATCATCAGGATAATGGGAGACATGATCAGCAAGTTTGCTGATGACACCAAACTAGGAGGAGTGGCTGATCCACCAGATGGTCCTGCTGCCATCTGGAGGGTCCTTGACAGCCCTGGCAAACGGGCCAACAGGACCCTCATGCAGTTCAACAAGAAGTGACGAGTCACTCCTGGGTAAGAACAACCGCAAGCACCAACGCATGCTGCTGGGAAGCAGCTCTCCAGAAAAGGCCCTGGGGGTCCTGGTGGACACGAGCCAGCAATGGTTTAGCAGGAGGTGTTGGACTAATGACCCCCAGAGGTCCTTTCCAACCTCATCCATCCTGTCATTCTGTGACCCAGAGTGAGGGCAAGAGATAACCAGATCCCTCAACCCCTCCAGACCTACCTCTGGTAGATGACACAGGGGGAGTCAAGGTGGAGCTACCTGGCACTGCAGGGAGAGAGCAGCAAGTGAGAGAGCAGCAATTTACTCAAGTCAAAGAGCCTGCTGGGAGTCATCCCTCCACAAAGGCAGCCCATAAACCCGAGTGCAGCAGGCAGCAGCAACCTGGTGGGACCGAGACACACTAACCTCAGCCACCATGTGATTCTGTGATCCTGAGCAGCGGCAGGAGATAAGCAGAGCCCTCAAGCCCTCCAGGCCCTACCTCAGGTCAGTGACCCAGGGGGAGCCGGGCTAGAGCTACCTGGTGCTGAAGGCAGGGAGCAGCAGCCGCGCTCGCGCCTCAACAACTCCTCAGCTGAAAAAGGAGTTCACTGCACTGTGTGCAAACACATCAGCCCTCTTCACTTTGGGAAAAGAAGTACTAATCATGAGTAGGAACACAGACCTCTGCAGCAATGAGCATGCCAGGAACAAGCAGCTTCTCTGTCTGCAGTAAAGGCAGGCAGAGAAAAATCAATGGTGGTTCAG